ACGATACCCAACTTGCCATTATTCGAAAAATCGCGCCCGCCATCTTGTATTTAGAAATAAGTACTATATTCGTAATGAGCACCCCCATATACCCCGTAAACGATACCCAGAATCAAAATCAAAATAATCTTTATTTCATAGGTAAGCATTATTACACTAGAAATCGTCACATTGGTTAAACTCTACCGCTCATTCGTAAGGCAGATTCCCCCGAGAAGTATGAGCAAGAAACTCTGGGGGTTGCTCTTTGTAAACAACATTTGTACGCATTTAACTTGCAGAAATGGAGGTCAAATGCACACTTACATTAGAATTAAAAAAAATCTGCAGCCATCGCGATATTGCCTATTCTCAAAAAATTACGTAATATAATTATTTTGAAACAGAATAGCAAAATCGGGAGAAAGAAATCCGTTACTTTGCAACATTTTCGTGTCTTGTTGCAACGAAATTAATTTTCGGTTTTAGTGAATATTTATATAAAAATACAAGTTGGAACGCGTTACTTCCTTGTGGAATGTGATGTTAGTGTCTATTTGATGTTTGCCTGTTCTATTTTTACACCCATTTGCCGCACATTTCGTCATTTTTAGCAAAAATTTTGGAGCTGTTTGCGGTGCAATTTGACCTTGAGCACTGACAGCCCGCCCGCTCGTGTAGGCCGTCTGGGAAGCCTCTAACTTGCCTCACTTGGCGTGTGCGGGCTAGGTTTCTATGCGTTATTATTCTGAGGTTAAAACCATAAAACGTTAAAAATGAATTTATGGGTACATACATGCATAAAATGCTTTGCTCCGGGCGATAGCAAAGCATTTGTATTATGTACAGTCAAGAACACAAAGTGTCAAGCTTGACGTGCTATCAGAGAACAAAAAAGGTGCTGTTGACTCATCCTCTAAGTGTTGAACATGTAATACAAGGCTTTTCCATCCTTTAAGATTGGGCCGCACCGCCCCCCGCGCTGGACATCGGTGCGCAAGGTTGTAATCATTTTACGGCAGGCATACTTAACTACCTATATTAAAAAACTACTCAGTTGAAATTTGGCTGTACGCAGCGCCCTTTCGGCAACAGAGGGAAAAATTGAAGTGTCTTTATAGTCTTATACAAACAGCAGATTTAAAAAATAACAATTTCATAACATTTTTTTTTAAACATATCTATTTTACTGTTAGGTCATTTTCGGAAAAATTTCAAATTTTTAGTCACAGATGTCTGTGCAAATAAGGTGCAAATAGTAGAATCTTCGCGGAAAAAAATTTGAATAAATTTATCATAAAATATAATTCGAAGGCTCATTTCATCATCATTTATGTTCTTCGTTTAGACACATCTGAAGTTTTATTTTGCGTGAGTTATTAAATAAAATTGAATACTTTATAATTGAGTTTGAGAAATAAGAGATGAATGGAAATTGCGTAGATCGAAACGTCAGTTCGTCATTATCCAACGGCAGGCAAATTCGTATGATTGGAGCCAATTAGATCTAAGGGCACTAGATCTATCCCATTCGTTTTGGCCAATGATACATTCTGCCACTTCTGTCAAAAATAAAACTATCGCGTGTTCGCGTTGGCGACTTTCTGATTTTTTACTTTATTAATCTGAAATTATGGATAAAATATTATCAATATTTGTAGATTCTTTATGTCTGTGAACGAAAAGTGATTTTGTTTGAAAGTCGTGGACTTAGATAAAATGTCTATGTGCATGATTCAATAACAAAACTATGGATTTTGAATGATTTATCTACAACTTGCCTACTGCGCAAATAGTACTAAAGTTCCGTACTTAAATGAACTAAATTGTTTATTATAAAAATGGCTTCATCTATGGAAGCACAAGAACGAGCGAAATTGTACAAATTTACTAAAATTTTGGCTTTAAAAGTGGCACAGGTGGTTGTACAGAGCAGGCAAGGGAAGAAGATTACTCAAGAATGTAATGATATAAAACCATTAGATAATGGGTTATCTTCATCCCCAACTAACTTACAATGGGTAGGTTTACTTACGTTTTAGGTGTAAGTAACTCTCTTGCATTTTTATCTATAAGCTAATTGGTACAATTAAGATACTTGTAGTGCACTAAACCTTTTTTAGAAATTTTATGAAAGAAGTACTTGATGTTACTGGGCTGCTGTCCGCAACTTGACGTCAATGCGCCTATTTTGCGTTTAGGAGTAACGTCCTAGTATTTTAATGCTCATATGAGCTGAGGTATATGTACATAAAGTTGCCCTTGAATGGCAATGTAGTGAAATGGCCTGTTCACCTGTTTATACATTTCCAATTCACAATAGATCTTGTTATCCTATTATTGTTCTGTGAAGTTGATGTTTAAATTTTTTATTTTGCTGCGTAATACATTTTTGGTAATAATTTATGAACAAAATGCATTATATTGGCATATTGTTATAAAAATTACATGTATTACTTGACGTCAAATTCATTTGGTTTAACTCCATTAATAATTAAAGTTTTGTTTTGAGCTAAATTTCAAAACCTCTTCACTCTGTTTTTGGTATAAATCCCCTTTTTTACACTTCAAGTGCAATATTGAGCACATAAGCCTAAAATTTCATTTGTAGTTTCTTTTCTATATACAAAATAAAAGTATAATCATATAATATTTTCAAGTAATTTTTTTTTTGTGCCTACTCAAAAGTCTTGCATTAATGGAGGCATGAGGTTTATGAATTTAGCTGTGCATATACAATTTTACTTTGTCCCTTTGCCTTTTTATTTGTTTAGTGTTTGAGTTTATCTAAGTTTGGCCTTTTATGCTGATACACTACTTTATACACATAAGTCTATGCTACACTACACCTCTGCCCGTACAAGAAGCACATATTAAATTCTTTTTTGAAATATGTCTTTGTTTGCTTAAAAATAAATAATTAATTATTTTGTAATAACATTCAACATGGTACTAAAGTTGCAAAACCTTCAACCTTTTTAAATTTTTTAATTTCCTTACAGCATGTTCATTATTTTTATTAAAAAGTGTGTGTACTTGTGCAATGACTGCAATTGCATCATCTAAAATGTATAAAGGCTGACAATTTATTCTTTGACACTAAGAGCGGTTACACACGGTAACTTTATGCAACGATGCAAACACAAAGCAAACATGATACAAATGCAATGCACATTTATAATGAATTAACTAATTTGTTTATTTAATATATTTATTAATTTCACTTTTAAATTAACAATTAAGAAAGCAATGTACATAAAACCATACAGATTTTTCATACCTAATGATTCAACATAAGCAACTGTATCTATGCTGTCGCGCGTCTGTATCGATGCAATCGCGCGTTTGCACCGATGCAATTGCGCGATTCGCGTATAAATCGCGCGTTATACGCGCGTTTGCATCGCTGCTAATTGTCGGCGTGTGTAACTACTCTTAAGTATTCGACACTGGTAATTATTTTCGACAAAAATATGTTGTCAATAATGAAAATTAGTTATTTAAAGTGTTTAAAACATCAAACTTTAAAATCTAATATGAAAGCTTGTAATAGCAGAACCTACAGAAACCTCTAAAATTACTAGGCAGAAAGTCAATACTGGCGAAATGTAAAAAAGGCACTGCCAATAAACACAGAGAAGACGAAAATGTTTGGCACTACCCAAATACTCAATGATTCCCATAACATAGACTCCTTTTATGACAAACTCTGGTTCATAGAAAGAACCTCGTCGCGTCGCACACCGGTAACCACTTGGCGTTTAAGGCAATGCCTAGACTGGCTAACCTTACCAACACTGATATGACAGATTTCTAATACGACAAGGACATTCGTAACTTCTATGCGAAATATTATCTGTTTCTCCCTCTCCACTTGTCAGTCTACGCAGAACTTGGTATTATACATATATTTATTTTCAACTGAACCAACATATGTTATATTAATTCTATTTTCTATTGCCTTAGTTCAACTTGTCAATCCCTGATGAACCCGATGTTAATTGTGACACAAAAAAGGTTTTAAATGGTGAAGTGGTTGCTGCCCTATCGAATGTGCTCTGCATTGAAATATCTTTGAAAACCGCTGAAGGGGATGAAATGGTATTGGAGATGTGGACAGTGAAGATGGCACCAGGATGTGACCCTAATATGTCATCTGTATCGACAATTTACTACCGCATGAGCATCATGCTTAAGTCAACATTGAGTATTTCAAGAATTACTCCTGCTTATAAAATGTCTCGTCTTCAAAATAGAGAATCCTATAAGGTTTTCCATAAAATATATGGTGGTTCCCCCAATACCACTCTATTGGGTAAGTTACTTAATTAATATAATAAAAAAAGCTTTTTATCCCCCGTATCAATCCACCGTAGTTGCAGCACAAAATATAGTAGATTCTATTATTACCAGTATAGATGATAAGTATAAAACTGCAGGCATTTTTTGTGACCTAACAAAGGCGTTCGATGTAATTGAAAATGATTTATTAATTCAAAAGTTAGCTGTGTATGGCGTCAACGGAGTCGCCCATAACCTATTAAAGTCTTTTTTATCAAAACAGACGGCAAACGGTTCAGGTCAGTACAAACGGTACAACAACTAGGTCAGCGGCTGGTGACGTCACCATTGGCATCCCACAGGGATCTGCCCTAGGTAATACACTATTCCTGGCATTCATCAATGATCTGCCATACTTTATATCAGGGGGTCTTGTGGTTCTATTTGCGGACGATACAACCGTTATAGTGTGTGCTAAAACCTACAACGAGTTGGAAGAAAAATTAGCCTGCACGTATGAGCAGCTGTGTGAGTGGTTCTCTGCGAATGGACTTATTCTTAACGAATCGAAGTCAAACCTTATGTTGTTCTCAGGAAGAAATTCTATAACAAAGCCAATTATCACCTCCATTGTTCCATTATGTAACACCTGTAAATTCTTGGGTTTAACGCTAGACTCAAATTTGAACTGGAAGTCACATATACAAACTCTATGTCAAAAACTTGGAAGTGCTACATACACACTGAGGAAACTGCGTCCTCTTGTCTCCAATGTGGTGTTGAGGCAGACGTATTATGCATATTTTCATTTGTTGATGTCTTATGGCATCACACTGTGGGGTAATTCAACTGAGTCGTTTAGGGTATTTATTCTTCAAAAACGTGCACTAAGAACAATAGTAGGCATAAAAAAGGGTCAGACCGGCAGAAACCTTTTTAAGCAATACAATATAATGACCATGTACTCACAATATATTTATGATATAATAGTTTATGCGCGTCAAAACTTGGCTACTTATGAGCGACGTACGGGCGGAGGCCGAGCGTTACGAAACGCGGGAACACTAAAATCCGTTGCCCACCGTACCGAACTTGCAACTAGAAATCCGCGGGTAATAGGTCCCCGATTTTACGAACATCTACCCACAGACCTGAAAAGTGTTAGAAATGATGAAACGTTTTGTACCCGACTAAAAATCCTTTTATTGGATATTGAATTGTACAGTGTCGATGAGTTTCTTTTGAAACAATTTTAATTTTATTTTATTCGACAAGCAGTAGTTATACTACTTTATTTTATATTCATTATTATTATTATAATTTTATTACTGACGATCATAGTTATCCCTTGACATTGTATTTCCAATTGTAATATTGTGACATTGATAACATGAAATAAACAATTCTATTCTATTCTATTTCTTTGTAGTTTTAAGTTATTGTTACTTAAGTGAACAAATGCCTATTTACTGTTTATTCATCGTGCCCTGCATAGTCCTACTTGTGACCAATGAAAAAGTTTGAAATATTGTAGAAATTAAATAGTATACTTTTATTAATACATTCAAAGAAGAAATATACTTTTAGGTGAGCAATTCAAAACCATTAAAGTGAGTGAGCTTCGTACTTTGGTGGGCACTTTAGTGATTGAAGTGATGTATAGGACGAAGATGACTATACTGCCAGATAACAAACAACGGGTTATTGACCAACAAAGTATGCTCAATAGTGATGACATTATGGTCAAAAGCGACCACTTCCCTATGGAGAGTCCCAGGTAAGAGTACAACAATCTTCATAACATTAAAACAATTCTTTAAAATGACTAACAAACTATTGTACATACTGTAAGTTTCCGGAACTGGCCATTTATATAAACAATATTTAAAAAGTAATTACAACATTTGAAAATGGAACTCTTTGGCTGTATTTAACTCGTGAATATTTTCGTAGTAAGATTTTCTACGACTTTAAGTGTAATTTAACAGCTCAGCGGAGCGTCGCTCGGCTTCTAACTGCATTTGGCGATGAAACACCAAACTACTATTTATAGCTGGCTTGCAGAATTCAAACGCCGTCGTGTGAATCTCAGTGACGAATTTCGTGATGGTCGCGTCCACTACTGTGAACAACAAAAACATCGATGCTTTGCGCCGTATGATCAAAACAGACAGGCGTGTGACATACCATGAGATTCGGGCACCTTTAGGCATAGGCATGAGTCAAATACAATTAATACTACACAAACATTTGTGTGTGAAAAGTTGTGCTCTCGGTGGATCCCACACAATTTGACAAAGGCTCAAAAATGGATCGCGTCACTTGGTTTGCACCATGCCATGCTTACCAGATTCAACGAAGGGGCGTAAAATTTGGTGTGGGACATAGTAACAGGTGACGAAACATGGATTTATAGTTAGATCCCAAAATATAGCAGCAATTGAGTGTATGGGTCTTTCGAGATGCGCCGAAAGCAACCAAAGTGCCTCTTTTTTAAATAAAACTGGTCACGTGTCTACTGTCGCTTTGGAGAATCGTTGTACCGTGAATAGTGATTGGTACACGAGCATTTGTTTTCCGGAAGTTATTGACAAACTCCGTAAAAATAACCGTAAACGTCGTATCATCTTGCACCACGATAATGCCAGTTCTCGCACGGCCAGACAGACAAATGAATTTTTGAAGGTGGACAACGTTGACCTTATGAGCCATCCCGTGTACAGTCCCGATCTGGCACCTTGTGACTTTTATTTATTTCCAAAAATTGAAAACCAGTTACGCGGTCAACGATTTTCATCACCTGACGAGGTTTTCGAAGAGTATGAAAAATATGTTTCATAGATTGTCATGGAGGAGTGGCATAAATGTTTTCAAAATTGGTTCATTCGTATGAAAAAGTGCATTAACGCTAACGTAGAATATTTTGAGAAACAATAAATTTATTTCTGACCATTTATAGTATTTTATTCTTATTCATTCCGGAAACTTATAGTGCGCCTTGCGTGTTACGTGTTAAATAAAATAATTTCGTTTTATAGTGTAATAGTCTGTAGATAATTTATTGGGTTTAAGGAGCACTTCACAACGAAACTACAAATTTTATTGATGTAAGCTTGTGATCACCAGGACGGAATAGATTGTAAAGAAAAGAGATTGAATTAAAATTCCAAAACAGAAAGTACATAAATATAATATAAAACCTAAAAAATTACAGAAAACATCACGACAAGAAAGAGGTAGATTTAACGAAACCGTTGACAGCAGGCGCATTTGTCGATACTGAGAAGATTAAAGAACTGCATGTCACTTTGAACAAACAACTACCTCCCGAACCTCCTTTGAGGTGGCTGCTTGCAGAAAAAGAGAAAATGGAAAATGTACGTAATTTGCTACTCTTGCACCTAACAGAGAATTAACCTGTATGTAATCCAATTATCTAAAGGATTTACAGGCTAATTCTCTGTTAGGCAGGGTTATTCTAAAGGCAAGTATTAACATCAAAACAATTTAATTTCAAAAGTTTTGACGTCATTTATAAACCCCCTTGATGTAGAAAATTAGTCAAATGGTTTTTTGCGCTGAACCCCAAACAGGCTTTGCTGTTAATACATTCTTCTCAGAAATGTTCGGAAGTGTTCGCGTTTGTTTTCAACAATGAACTCTCTTATTACACTATAATATTAGAAACTTCTGTTCCGAAAACCAAGGACCCTAACAAACTTTGGAATTTCGTCAAATCCATTAAGGGCGATCGTCGCAATACTGGATATCCTACGACTATTTCAGATAGTTCCAATATGTATTCTAACTGCAAAGAGATTTGCAATACATTCAACGCGTCTTTTTAGAGCGTCTTTAATAAACCTCTGAACGATTATTCATATCTATCATTGAAATACCCTCCTAGGGGTGATTATGGTACATTGAGTATCATTCAGAAAGAAACTCGTTGAAAAGCATATTAACAGGCTGAATATTAACAAAGGATCTGGTAGTGATAAACTCCCTCCTATCTTTATTATAAATTGCGCCACATCAATATCCGTTCCTTTTGCGATTTTATGTAATAGATCAATAAGGAAGGGGATATTTCCGGAAATCTGGAAGGACGCTTATATAGTGCCTATTCACAAAAAAGGATCTAAACTAAGAATCTAAAATTACCGACCGATTTCCATTCTAAATACTATCTCAAAAGTATTTGAACAATTAGTTTTTGATTTTGTATATCCATACAAAATACCATTAGATCTACCGTTAGCCATAGACAGCATGGTTTTCTTAGGAATAGATCTGTTATCACCTATCTGAGCAATTTTACACATTATGTACCGATTATGATAGATGAGGGGTCGCAAGTTGACGTAGTTTATACAGGTTTTGAAAAAGCCTTCGATCGCGTGGACCACTTTATCTTGTTAAAGAAATTAAACACTTTGGGGATCAGGGTGACTTATTTCGTTGGGTTAAGTCATATATATCAAACAGACGCCAAGCAGTCGTGATTGGTGGTAGTAGGTCCGATTTTGTATCCATTCCATCAGGACTCAAGGATCCCACTTAGGCCCGTTATTCTACAACGCATTCTTATATGACATAGACAACTGCTTTGTTCACTCTGAGTTTCTTTTATATGCAGATAATAAAAAAAAATTCTGCAAATTAATTCTTCTGAGGACTGCCTAAAGCTACAGAGTGACCTCTTCCGACTCTCGGAGTGTTATGAGCGAATCAGAATTGGTGTTAACATTGATAAATGCGTCAAAATTACTTTCACTCGCAAGATCAACCCCGTCTCCTTCGACTATAATTTAAATAATAACATCGTACAAACATGTAATGAAATCCGGGACCACAGTATAATCCTAGATAGTAAAATGATGTACGACAAACATATAGCTGCTATTGTCAGTAGGGCCTACAGGAACCTAGGGTTTATAAAACGAGTGTGTAACCAGTTTTCTAACATTGAAAGTTTAAAAATGGTTTATTACGCCTTCGTGCGTAGAATTTGGTAGTGTCATCTGGTCGCCCCGATACGTCTTGTATGATAAGCACATTGAGCGCATACAAAAAATGTTCATTGAATTTGTAAGTTATAAGAGTAAAAAAAGTTCGCCGCATATGAGGAAGCATGCAAACATTTCAGTATGCTTAGTGTTTCTCACAGGAGAGATACTCGCCTAGACAGCCCTTCCCTTGTTTCCCTGTTTCGTCTTGTAGTAACCCAGTTCATACCATTTTACGTTCATACATTTTACGTTCCACCACGTCGTACGAACTATGGCCGGAATGAGATTGTTTCGCGCCTTACAACTACGTACAATAAGTTTTTCAGTAACGTTGACATCTTTGCACATCCTAAACATTCATTTAAGCCAAGAATTAGTGGAGTAATTTGGCCACCCTAAGCTTGAGATACTTGAGATTTATTTTCTTTTTTTACCCATATCACGATCATTTAAATTATAAATTGTTCCTTTAAAATTTTAGCTTCTGTTTACAATATTTGTAATATACTTATTTATGTTGAATGTAATTATTAAATCTTAAGCACACTTTGTCACATCGTGTAATTTTTTTAAGCTACTGTGATATCCTGTAATTTTTAAGATTTATTAAAATTTTTGAAACAAATTACTTACTGAAAATTTAAAAAATAAAACGTCTATTTGGCCATTGAAAACATGCTTCATTTAAGTACAGCCAATTTAAATTACTTTGTAAAAGACAAGCAAAAATGCTAACACATTTTCTAAAAATATGTTGTTGGCATGTTCAGTGAACAAGAATGAAACAAGAAGCCATCTCCATTACGAGCAATTATTTGAATGCTCAAGTGTACAGTGAATATTAAACATACTATCATTATAAAGAGGTTTATATTTATATTATATTTAACTTGTGTTTACGTTTGATTATGTAGTCTGAATAATAATTAAATTACTTAGTTGTGTAATCTCCTCGCATTGTTTGAGAAAAGCCCTGTGTATACATCAGCATACATCCTTTTAATAGAAATAAATAGCTGTTACTTGTCCGACAATCCCTTATTTTTTGGCCTCTGCAATAAAGTACCATTTCATTAACCGCAGAAAGCTAATCGGGTGGGACCGGAGAATATGAACATAAACAAGCCAGGCGTAAGCACCGAGTTGGCAAGCAGCAGTGTCCCGTACATAGCCAGTAAGGCCATTGAGATGCCTAAGAAGAGCGATCGATACACCAGCTTAATGGTAAATATCTTTTTTTTTTTTTTTTTTTTTTTTTTTTATATACCTGACAGGCAAATGACTCCACTCCACCTGATGTTAAGTGGAAAGTGGTATCCAAACGCGAAGGAACCTAGTGCAGCGATGGAATCCTCACTGCACTAGCCGCCTCCACCCTGCCTGCCTACAATATGCCTCTTCACGCCTCGTTTGAAGGACCCCATATCATAAGAGGGAGGGAAGACATGTGCCGGTAGGGAGTTCCATTTGTCAACCGTGCGGCAGAGAAAGGAGCCACCGAACCTTTTAGTACGCGATGGAATGCGGCAGGTAGTGAAACGGTGACTACGAAGGCCAGCACGCGTGCTTCTGAGCAGGAACGGGGAAGGGGGGATGAGGTTGAACAGCTCCTCAGAGCACTCACCATGGTACATGCGGTAAAAGGCGCTAAGCGATGCAACATCTCTACGCAGTTGCAGAGGTTCAAGGCGTGATGAGACCTCTTCGTCGCCTATAATTCTAGTAGCACGACGCTGTAATTTATCCAAGGCATCGAGTAGGTACTTGGCGGAGCCGTCCCACAAGTGCGAACAATACTCAACGCAAGACCGGACCTGTGTTTTGTACAGCAGGCATAACTGGTCCGGCGTGAAAAAACGTCGCACCTTGTTCAGGACTCCGAGTTTCCGTGAGGCTGTTTTGATCACAGATTCGATGTAGCTCCTTGGATTCAAATCACAGCAGATTTCCATACCGAGCAAGGTGAAACTGCTCCGAGGTGAAAGTGCTGTGCTCATCAGAGAAGGCATGGGAAGGAACGGCGACAATTTTGTTGTTAACGCGCAAACCTGTGTTTTCTTGGCGTTGAACTCAACAAGATTACTGGATCCCCATGCAGATATGAGGTCCAATATCCTATTGAGCTCAACGACAAGATCAGATCGCTCTCTGTCAGTATCGGCGCGCCCAGCTGCGGGGAATCCATGATATCCCCCATGAACAGTGCTATCATCTGCATAACAATGAATATTCCCAAGTGGAAGCATATCATTGATATGCAGAAGGAAAAGCGTGGGAGATAGGACGGATCCCTGCGGTACGCCGGCGTTCACATTCACGAACCTCGAAATGCTGCCGTCAGAAACGACGCGAATTCTCCGCTCACGAAGGAAATCGGCAATCCAGCTGCATAACTGGGCTGGCAAACCGTACGCCGGGAGCTTGGAGAGAAGAGCTTTGTGCCAGACCCGATCGAACGCTTTGGCTATATCGAGGCTAACAGCCAACGATTCGCCACGTTTGTCTATAGCCTCACCCCAAATATGCGATAAGTACGCTAGAAGGTCACCCGTTGATCGTTTCGGACGAAACCCATACTGCCGATCATTAATTATGGAGTGATCTTCTAGGTATTGGGTCAGTTGTTTATTAAGGATTCGCTCTAAAACCTTGCATATTATGGAAGTAATGGCTATGGGACGGTAATTATGCGGGTCTGATCGGTCGCCTTTTTTGGGAACTGGTTGCACATTAGCCTCTCTCCAAGAGTCCGGCACACGACCTGAAGAGAGCGACAGACGATACAGTCGCGTTAGCACGGGAGTCAACTCAGCTGCGCAATTCCTAAGTACAATCGCTGGGATACCATCAGGACCACTAGCTTTCCGGACGTCGAGAGACTGCAGCTGCGTACGCACATCGCATTGTCTGATACGAATATCAGACATCGTGTAGCCACAGTGAGGTAGAGTTGGTGGCTGTGCGTTACAGTCGTCGAGACAGGAGTTAGCCGCAAACAGATTTGCCAAGAGGTCGGCTTTATCTTGCGGCTTGTGGGCTAGATTGCCGTCAGAATATCTCAGCGGTGGCAGCGAGGGCTGGCAGAAGTTCGACGCAACGGCTCTGGCCAGACGCCAGTAGCTACGACTACCTGTGGGATGCGTCAAGAGTTCTTGGCCAACTCGTGCGACGCGCTGAGCATCCGCTCTGATGTACGCTCTTTTGCAAGACCTGGTGGCATTATTGTAGGCTGTTTTAAGTGTGTTTGTATTGGGATCGTCTGAAGCTAGACCCCTGATCCAAGCGCGGTATGCAGTCTGTTTGTTCTCAACAGCCACAGCACACTCGCGGTTGAACCAGCGGTTGCGCCTCCCTTTACTGACGAGATCCGAATGCGGGATGTAGTATTCCATCCCGATTAAGATCTCATCAGCAACGGCAGTCGCGCTAGCTGATGGATCCACCTCACTAAAACAGCGCTGCCGCCAGGGAACGGATGCAAAATAGTCCCGCATACCGTCCCAATCTGCCGACGCATAATGCCAAATGCGGCGTTTAGCCACAGAAGGTGGTGGTGGCAGTAACTTTGCCACTTTAGTGGATATCAAGCAGTGATCCGAAGTGCCCAGAGGGGCTTGGACCACCACCCGATATCCAGCCGGGCGAGACGTCAGCAGAAGGTCCAACAAAGAGGGCGCGTCACCAACCCTATCTGGAATCCGGGTGGGCTGATTCACCAGTTGGGTTAAATCGTGTGTGAGAGCGAATGTGTGGGCAGTTCTTCCAGCATGGTCAGTTTTAGAGGAACTTAACCACGACTCGTGGTGAGCATTGAAGTCCCCTAAAAACACCAATTCCGCTGTAGGAAACTGCGCCTGCGCGTCATCTGCCGCCCGAGTAAGGTGGTCCATGAGACGAGTTGTCTCCATGTCGCCGTGGTGGGATCTGTAGAGGCACATGTAGACACGGCAATGACTGCCCAGGTCAACATGTACCCCAAGGATGGAGAAGGAGGGGTCCTCCAAATGACGCAGACGGCGACAGCAAACATCTGCCCGGACAAACAAGCAGACCCCAGCTTTCGCTTTGAAGGACTCTTCAAGCATATAGCCAGGGTAATTCAAGTAGCTGCTGTCAGCCGGGCAGAGTATTTGCGTCTCCGTAAGGAACAGCATTTCTGGTCGAGCCGTCTCAAGATGTTGATGGACGGCGTGGATGTTACTGTGGAGTCCTCGAATGTTCGTGAACTCCACCTTAAAGAGCGCTTTAGTGGTGGGGGTGTGCACCGCTGTACGACCGAAATTTGTACTTTGCGCTAACATGTTGGAGGGAAAAAGAGGCGTGAAGCGAGAAAACAGTGCCGCGACGCAAGCGGTCAAATCGCGGGGCCTGCTTCCCCAGAGACTTGCCTACAGACAAGTTGCGCTGATCCGCCGGACGGAAGGGCCCCCGAACCCCCCCGGGAATGGCCGCCGGGACCCCACCTCCCGGTCACCAACCGGCACGACGAACCACACCGAGATTATGCGCGGCATGGTGAGGCAGCCTCACGAGCTGGTTAAGCACGCTTGGGCCCCTGTACTGTACCGCGGGCGGCCAGCGGAACAACCGTTTCTACGGGTCTCCCTGGCCGGCGGGTCAATGCAGTTGTCCTGGCACTGGTTCGGCGGAAGCCTCCACAGACCACAAATGTCGCGGCAGCGTTCCCTCGGGCTCTGGTTGTACGCTGACTGATCCCGGAACGCATCCGACTAGCGAATACTTGGCGGGTTTTCCATCATGCGCACGGTGGTCACTAACCAGGCGGGTTTTCAAGCCCTACCACCAGTGGAGCAGCTGGTTGCTCAATATCCCTTAGTCGCCTCTTACGACACCCACGGGAAGAGAGGGGCGGTGAATTGTATTCTAATCCGTCACCGCACGGTTAAACAATAATAGCAGTACAGCTTTTTATGAAACAGTTTATCCAGGTAAGTACTGCCACCTTACCTATTTCTGCCACCACGTAATGAGAGCATTACTGCATTCCGGTTTTGAAGGGTTAAGGGTGCTGGTGAAATTACAGGCACATCGGACTTGTTAACTTATATCTCAAGATGACGGGCGCAATGGCAGTGCCCCTCAGATCTTTGCGATTTAAAGCTCTGAATGGCACTACAACTGTTATGGACAGACGTGTCGATGACCATCAGGCGCACGACTTGTTCGTCCCGTCACTTGGTATTATAAAAAAAGAGAGCATAGTGGTTCACATTTTATTGAATTACTCTCTTGGTTCTCTGCAAAGCGGGGCACCCACTTATATCTATATCTGATCAAAATGGAAATACCTGCAAAATGGTGGTCTTCAGACGACCAACGGCAGCTTGTGCCATTTATTCTACTTTAGAATTTCAATTTACTGTTGAGGTCAGTTTTAGAAACTGGTTTTGTATAACTAATTTTTCTCTTTTATTTCAGGACTTCCCTTTCGCTGACGGCAGTCCCATAACAGAGCTGGCAAATTTCTATCAAGAATGTTTGCAGGCGAAGTCTGCTAGTGACGAGTGGACTGACATCATTGGCGAAGTATCTGTGTCCACCGACTCCGAGTCATTGTCCCAGCAACTCAAGATGTACGAAGATGCCGTGCCGGAGTTTGACAGCATGGTAGCCTCAATGTTCAGCAACTCTGACAACGGTTCCGACTCTTAAATATTTCAACAAGTTGCGACTCATAACATAGTTTTATTGTCAAACGAAACCAAACATTTTTTATGGTAAGGTATAACCAATCGTACTGTAGATGGGTTGGACTGACTGAATACAGCTGTGCTGTTATCCTTTTGCGCAAAACGAAGGACAAAGTCCTGTTATCCTAGGAAATATTGGTAAACATCGGATATCTTGAGAATTACCAGGGGTAGTATCACTGACCAATCTTTGCATTTGTATTATCCAAAGTGTGTCTTAGTTCGCCTTTCGATCATAGTCAAGAATTGCGATGTTCTAATAGTATCATTCCCTGAAGCGTGTCTTTCTTACGTGGCCATTATGATTACGCTATGCATACATTATATTATAATAGCTTACTGCTACAGGTTATTGAATTGGCATTTGCGAATGTTGACAATTTTCAGTTCCTAAATAGTTTAACGTAACATTTTTTTCAAGTACTTGTGCTTACGGTGTTTTCCACAATTGCACTTTACTTAGATTTGTTTACTTGTAAGCTCAAGAGCGTCTCATGTTACTTACTAAGAACACAAGTTTTTGACATTGCCATAGTACGTTAGCAAAGGACCTGCTCAAAGTATTTTTGCGTTCAGTTTAAAGAGACATTTGCGAATTCTAAACGGTAACGTTTGATTAGCTTTCTGCAAACTCAATAGTAGAAAAAAAAAACAAAACACCCACTGCTTTACATGCAAATAATTACCCTAGTTCTAGTTGCGTAATGAATTTGATTTTGACATTGGTTTTGTAGTCAAAACAAAATTTTGACCAGGTATTTTACGAAATTCTGACTTAATAAAATATGAACGACTTAGATAGTGTAGTAGTAAAATTACGAATGGTTAATTGGTACCTTTAGGTAAATATTACCTTGTATTGGGCTATACGCATGAAACTGTAACTGTATGCTGCAGAGTAGTTAGTTTTTACAAAAATTTAAAACAACAAGCCGAAACCCCAAAAAAAGAAAGTTTTTGCGTTTACGGCTCCAAATACACTTTCTAACATAGTACATATTCATAACATTCATAATGATTCAAATATCATCTTTTGATACAAATGATAATAATACGGTCCAATAGTTCTTTTCCGGGTGATATTGCTGGTATTTTTTAATTAGACCACAATGAACAAATAACTTTTCAGAAGAACATATTTGTTGTGTGTATTGTTTGTTATGTTACTGTAGTAGTTGTAAAGTGATTTGTTGATGTGTACTTTTTGAATAGCCTCGAGTGTGCGGCAACACCCAGTGTCGTGGGTCGTTTCACTGTAATGTTGATTAATGACTCGGTATTTATTTTCGCTCTGCATTGGTCTCTTGACAAGTCGTCGTTCAGTTGCAGGTCATCCCTAGCCTAACACATATTTACAAAAAAATTAGGTTAAGTCTATTGCGTACGTTAGATTAATATCTATTATATACATATTTGTTTAACTATGATTGATTTAAATTATTTAAAACTTTTTTTAAGATTTATACTATTTTTCTAGACAGGGTTATTTTTAATTAACCTAAAACCTCTTAACAAGGCATTCGTGCAACAAACTTTTGAATTTTGAATTTGAGAATGTTATTTAAAAAATAGTATTAAAAAATGCGTGTTTTTTCCAAAATGCAAGAAAAAGGGTTATTTGTTTTTATTATGGGTGTGTTATAATTGGATATTACACGTCAGCACGCGTGGCCACCACGTTCGTACTTCAATATAAGTAGCATTATCATCATTGATGCAGAAGCGTACTAAATAAGGTTTATTTTTGTATGGACGCGATGCCAATGCGTGCAAACGAATGGGATCTAACTCTTAAGAGGCTCCGGGATAATTTTTAAAAACCCTTTATGGTGTGTGCCACTGCACTGAAACGTCACAAGCTTAGTGTTATAATTGAATGTTACAGATAGAATGCATGTGCCAAGTCCTTAGTAATTATTTTCGGGAATTGTGTTAAATTTTTCTTATTAATTATATTATTACTAAAGAAACACTTATTTATTATAATTGCGTCAGATTCTGACTACGTATTTACATAATGTTTCAAAAATTAGATAAATTGAGAGCTTTGTTGTTTACTTAATTTAGAAAATAAATACTCAAGATTAAGTAGCTAGTCTATTGTTAAAAATTGGCGTTGAGTTGTTGATTACTTATCATTGTCATCACTATCACTTATTTATAACATTGTCTGTTGGTGGCATTAGGAGAGTGAAATTCAAAATGACGCGAATCGCACGTAGGTCATTAGTTATGCTTTGATTTCTTACGACTAGTGCCATATGGTGTGTCAAACCTCAGGTAAAAGTACTTTATGGTTTTCAATTAGTGCACTACGTGAATGTGTATTAGGTATATATACTCAAGACTGCATATGTCACGGCGTAGTTCCCACTAACGAACGGCGAATTTGCCGGGTAGCCGGCACTCGGACTAGGCGTTCACATTACGCCGGATATAGCAAGAAGCCGTTGCCGGAGCGTCTGTCACTGCGAACCGCCGACACCGACTGGCAAATTCGCCGGTCTGGCTTAGTGGTAACTAGGCCTGAGGTATATTTACCTGTGGTCTTACGTATAGAAAAGCGAAATCGTGTATTATAAGTTATCATTGCGCGGAGTTGTGGACGCGTTCAGCTGCGTCGTATCCCCTAGCTTTAGACCTGTGGTTTTGCTTTCCATGTGAGATTAAAATTCATATCTTGAACAATATCGACATCAACAGCTTGTGCATTCGCGTTCAAGATTTATTTTACAAAATGTACACAGCTAAAATTGAAGCGTAATGAAAATTATGTTTTTGTTTTGTATGGTTTTTATCATATAATAATCAATGAAGGATTCATGAATAACCTACCTATGTACCTATGTTAATTGTTTACATTATCGTTAAGAAAAACCTTATACTCTATCAATATGTAATAGACAATTAAAATATAAAATGTCAATGTTTTCCACTATGCGATATGAGACCTTCCGCTGAAATTTAGTAGTGCGTAAAACTATGACAAAACGAGTATCTGATAAGAAAAAATTTGAAGCGCCGAAATTACGCACTGCTCATAGACGTTAAAGTGTGTCGCTAGACGTAGACCTTGTGCAGCTTGCGTTTTTTTCATACTGACACTGCAGTTGGCCGCTGATGGCCTTGAATGTGCCATCGGATAAAAGAGTAAAAACTGCGTGCGTGTGTATACCCTTTAAAAGCATTGTCTAGTGCATATAGTCTTTATTAGTACGGTGTTGCCAACTTAACCGGTTAGTCACTAAATATAGCAAAATAAATATTTGGGCAGGATTTCCAAACCAAATACTATATAACCCGTTCATAAGACAGTACTGAAATGGTACCGCACGCAAAAATGTCAGTACCTTTCATTTTGCCGTAGTGCTTATATTGATTCGATATATAATGTTCAATGCAAATCATTGAATTTGTAGTACTTTTTTGATACTTCTCGATGAAGTAGGCGGCAACTACACAAAAAGCACTTTGAAGTCGCAATGTAAAGTTTTTTGAAATCTTCCGTACTATTATATTCTGATACTGTCCATAAAGGGTTAATGATATATTAAATTATAATATATTATTGCTACAAAGCGTACACGACAACTAAGGGCTATGTCACACGGGCTTTGCGCAAGCGTTACGTCGTCGCAACGCTGTTTTCAACACATCGAGTGCCACAAGAGCGGTGCGTTGTCGCAACGTAAGGCCGCTTATTTTCGCACCGCAGCTCCCCTCCCTGCTTCTCCTGGTCCATGTGTGGAAAGTAGCAATAATAATGTCATGCAGCAACTAATTGCTGTGGCAAGTAAAATAAACAAACTCTTATCGGTGACCTATCATCGATTGGGTCAGAATTGTTCCATGTGAAACGGAGTATACCTGGTACAGTATTTCGGTTTTTTAACTAACTGTATTGTTTATGTTTCTGGGTCAATATCCCACAGAAAACATGAACATTGTGTGTCAAAAATTAGTAAAATTCGTTCCAACACCAGCTATGGCAAAAAGTAATTTTATTCACTGACTCTGGCGATGATCGCCATAATTTTTATATTATTCTTATACAACTGACATGGCACAGGCCTAGTGGCCGCCTTAAAGGAAATATTAATAACTGCAGCTATTAAAGTGTCAGACTACCTACTTGTAAACTTGAAATATTTTTATGCATTTTACTTCTATAAAAGACACGAACGAAAAACATCGAAATACGCATTTAGGGCTACACATCACCTTTTATTGAGATTAGTGAGTAACATCATACCTATGGCCCTACTGTTTGTCATATAAAAGCCACAGTGTATTCAAATGATTACAAGAGGCTTTGTGACCTAACTTTGCAAAATCTGGCGAAAAACATTCCGCGTTGTGCTGGTTACGTAGACTATATATAATATTACCTGTATGACACGATATGTATTTTCAGCTGTTGTAGAGCCGATATTTCTTTGAAATTATATTAATAAAATGACCGTTTATTGGGTGGTCATATATTACATACATTAGTTATGTGATGAATGATTTGAGTAAAAATTCTGATTATATCATGATCCATGTTATTATACATTATTACATTTATACAATGTATGTTAGTTATATGTTTACAGTAGATACAGTCATGAACGTATATTGATTGTTCTAGCCAAGACGTCGAGTCGATCGTACGCATAAATTGAACCTGTATGTTAATGTAAATGTTTATAAATAAAAATAATAATATTCAAATGTGTACTTTATTATTTAAAAAAGTGCAACAATATAGTCCACGCAATATGCAACCATATATACAGGATTCCTATATCTATGTATGCAACTCGTTTCTACAACGAGGTTATTTAGTTAACAATAAAGAAAGACTCTAACGAAATAAAGTCATTGTCCAATTGTGAATCATCGATTCGATTTTTAAACCAAGTCTACTTCGTTCTCTCATGGACTTGTTCTTCTATCAGGCACAAGACAACTTTGACAAACAGCCCAACAACCTCAATGCCGTTACGTTTTCATTTTGATCAAGAAATAAATAATCTCTAGGCTTTTCAACCACCCACAGTGGTGAGTTCATAACAGAAAATGTTTTTAGGAAATCTTTGAGATCTATAGTCACATACTGGACGTTTCATTATTAAATAAGTATGTAAAGTAGTACATATATTACAGAATATTTTTTCCCAGCAAAACAAATGGCATAGCGATTGATTGCTCCTCTTAATTAACAACTTTCAAAGTTACTTTATACATTATTAATGTATTAATATTCTTTAGACTCCGGAGCGCCCACGAAAACATGGTTAAAGGTAGAATATTTTATTTCTCTACGTAATTCTATATGAATATTTGCTGTTCAGATTTAATTATTCATATACATAGATACACATAACGCGATCATATTTATTTTAATAATTCTAAAATCACACCATGTTGCCCAGTTTCATATAACTAGTTATAACGATACCTCACACATGAGCGTAAGCCACACAATGGCACTTTTTACTTTTTAGGTTAAATGTATTCCTTCTTATGTATATTATTATATACATACATATTACGTTAAAAAGTAAAAATGCTGTTTCGCATTTAAAAAAAACTTAAGACCTTGTCCAGAAAGAGCGAATTCGCCTCGAATTGATTGATTCCGTTCCTTCAGTTTACGTCGAACTTCAGAGTGAGTGCGAGCTTGTATCTAAGGAAATGGAGCGGCACAATTTTGGTACAGAAATGTATAAAGAAACGACAATAGGGGATGTGGAATCATCATAGTACGCTAATAAAATTTTGAAACGATGCAAAGTTACAAACATACATTGATGATTGACGATGTACGAAGTACAGTCTGCTTTCCTTTAGTTTTCGTTTCTTCTGGCGACGGTAAACTAGCCACAACTCGATCGCTTCGTCCAACTCGCATGTTTAATATTGAATGCTGACTGAATTTGTCCTCAAAAGCTCGCGCGTTTCGTGCTCGAACGCTTCTTTTGGACGCTACGTACGCGCGTCGAGAAGGTTCGCTGCGAATTAGCCTCTTCTGGACAAGGTCTTACGTAGGAGGTATCTGTAAGAGTCCAAGCGTAAGATTAACAGATATATTGTTATCCAACAATTTTTATTGCTGCCATATTTTCTAACCTTAAGTTATTACCCATAGAGAAATACGGCGTCATGCATATTCATAATTTTGTTCACCGAGTATATAGAAATATAAATATAATAGATTCCAGAGACTTTAACTTTCCTTCATAACCAGTTTCAGCTTTTCATTAGGTGTGATAGTAATAATTCTTTTGTACTGTCCAGGTACGTGCTGAAATCCGAATAAAAATAATATTAAGTATGCACGGTAAATAATGTAATATATAATATGTACATTATATGTATACATTACAAACGCCCTGTATATATATATATATATATATATATATATATACAGGGCGTTTAAAAACTTCCGGTACATCCATTTCCTAACTTAATTGTTACACAAG